CCGAAATGGTCCGAGACCGAGACCGAGACCGAGACCGCGGATAATAAATAACAATAATCTAAATAAACAACAAGACACTAATTACAGCTGAACAGTCTGTCCTTGAGATGTTGATGTTCATGGGGATGTGAAGGAAGTGATTGAAAGTTAGGAATCACTTGTACCTGCTTAATTGTGTCATGCGAGTGCTCTTCGTGTTTGCTTCATGCCATAAATTACAACATGGCAACAGAATTTGTTCTTGTAACAATCAATTAAAAAAATATTGTTTAACTACTATAAAGTGTAAATCTGATGAAGAAACTCTAACTTAGGAGTACGACAATTTGTACTAGTTTTTGAAAAACTTGAACATGTTGAAACTTGACAAAAGTAAAAAGTTAAAGGTGGATGTTTCATCTGTTATAGGAACTCGGACCCTAAACTCCAGAGCCAGCCCTTGGTTTCAGCAATGACCACTAACGGATATTTAAATGCAACTTTAATTTTACATTGGACCTCCTTGTAAACCTGATTCGAAAAAAATTTGGAGCAAGAAAATATTGATTTATTTTTTAAAATTTCAGTCATGGAATATAGATTTGTACATGTAGACCAAAAAATTGAGAGATGGTAGCCAGATATGGATTGGTCTGCCCCCCCCCCTCCCTCTTTGTGATTCTCCTTCCAACCCTGCATGTTTGTGTGTCCCCTACACGTTTGTTTCTTGTTCCTCTGTCATTTACCTCTGAAGAAGGCCTGGCTAAGGCTGAAATGTAATGCCACTTTATATTTGTTTAATGTCAATAACATTACATATACTATAGAAGATCGATGAACCATATTTGCCTGATCTATCTTCTGTTCATCTGCCCGCCGTCATCATCGTCATTAGCCTTTTAGAGAATATGGCCGACACAATAGAAGGGCGCTGTAACAAACTGAATGTGGTGGGCGAGATGCACTTTTAGGATGCATGGCTCAGTGCGCACGCCTCTCTGTGTTTTGTACCGTGCAAGCGTATCGCTCGCATCGGCTACTTTGCCGGGCAATTTACTTGAGTATTTTAGTGACAAGTACGACATTGCCAATATTCTAATCGCTTATTGTGATGGCCGTAAACAGCATATAGCGATTAATGAAACAAAAGTCTTCTCGACTCATGCAAACGCAATTGACATTTAGGAAGGAGACGAGGCAGGCAATAAGACTCTATTTTTGTGTGACCATGGCAGTAGCTCAATTTGTGTTTATCACAGATGAAAAGATGAATACATGGCGAGTCAAAAAGAAAGTGACAGTATGATAAAAAAGAAAGAAATGGCACCCTCCATTTCATAAAAAAATATGATTGGGATAAAGAACATGTTATTGAGTAGTAACTCTGAAAATTTCACGTAATTTGCATTCTCTATTCCCAAGTCGTGTCTATTTTAATAAAGAGATCACAAAATTCAGCTGTCCACCACTAATACCAATTTAACGGTCTACGAATTGATGAATATCAATTAATAAATATAATTTAAAAAAACGTTTTCCCGCCTCCACGAATAAAGGAAAAATTGAAAAGGAAAATCGAAAAAAAATCACCAATATTTCTAGGGAAAAAGAGTTGAATTGTTCCTCATATTCAAAATACAAAATCTGACGGTAAAAATAAGTTTCAGTCTTGATTCATAAGATTTAAATCTCAGTTGTATTTGGAATCAATGAGGATGGCTATAAAGTGCTTGTTTCAACATATCATCCCACAATAAAAACGAGAAATAAGAAGAGGAGCAATGGTTATTGGACTATGCCTCACTCACTATAGAAAGCACTGTTGTAGTCGAGACCGGATAGCCCGAGACCGAGATCAAGACCGAGACCTGAAGTTGCGAGACCGAGACCGAGACCGAGACCGAGACCAGCCCCTTCAAGACGGACCGAGACCGAGACCGAAATGGTCCGAGACCGAGACCGCGGATAATAAATAACAATAATCTAAATTTAAAAACAAGACACTAATTACAGCTGAACAGTCTGTCCTTGAGATGATGATGTGATGGGGATGTGAAGGAAGTGATTGAAAGCTAGGAATCACTTGTACCTGCTTAATTGTGTCATGCGAGTGCTCTTCGTGTTTGCTTCATGCCATAAATTACAACATGGCAACATAATTTGTTATTGTCACAATCAATTTTTTTTTAAATGGAAACAACCGAATTTAAAGAAGGGGAAAACCTAATTTGATGAACTCCATATATTGTTGCCACTTTTTTAAAAACATATTTTTTTTAAATATAATATTGTTTAACTACTATAAAGTGTCAATCTGATGAAGAAACTCAAACTTACACTTACACTTATACAGTGTCGTCTTTTGTGTTTATTTTGTTTTATTTTGTATTTCGTAGCTTTCATACATTTTTGTTTAGTTTTTGTGCTTCATACCGTGTTTGTTAATTGTGTATTGTTTTGGTCGAATAAATAATAATAATAATAAAAACTTAGGAGTACGACAATTTGCACTAGTTTTTTGCAATGTTGAAACTTGACAAAAGTAAAAAGTTAAAGGTGGATGTTTCATCTGTTATACGAACTAAACTGTTACAGGACCCTAAACTCCACAGCCACCCCTTGGTTTCAGCAATGACTACCAACGGATATTTAAAAGCAGCTTTAATTTTACATTAGATCTCCTTGTAAACCTGATTCCAAAAAAAATTGGAGCAAGAAAATATTGATTTATTTTTTAAAATTTCAGTCATGGAATATAGACTTGTACATGTAGACCCAAAAATTGAGAGGTGGTCGCCAGAGAGGCCTGGCTTAGGCTGAAATGTAATGCCACTTTATTTGTGTATAATGTCAATACCATTACATATACTATAGAAGATCGATGGACCATATTTGCCTGATCTATCTTCTGTTAATCTGCCCGCCGTCATCATCGCCATTAGCCTATTGGAGAATATGGCCGACACAATAGAAGGGCGCTGTCACAAACTGAACGTGGTGGGTGAGATGTACATGAACTTTTAGGATTCATGGCTGCGTGCGCACGCCTATTTTGTGTTTTGTACCAGCGTATCGCCCGCATCGGCTACTATGCCGGGCGATTTACTTAAATATTTTAGTAATTTACAAGTACATGTACAACATATTGCCAATATTTCATTCGTTTATTGTGATGGCCGTAAACAGCATTTAGCGATTAATGGAACAAAAGTCTTGCAAACGCAATTGACATTTAGAAAGGAGACAAGGCAGGCAAATAGACTCTATTTTTGTGTGACTATGGCAGTAGCTCAATTTGTGTTTATCACAGATGAAAAGATGAATACATGGCGAGTCAAAAAGAAAGTGACAGTATGATAAAAAAAAGGAAATGGCACCCTCCATTTCATAAAAAAAATATGATTGGGATAAAGAACATGTTATTGAGTAGTAAATCTGAAAATTTCACGTAATTTGCATTCTCTATTCCCAAGTCGTGTCTATTTTAATAAAGAGATCACAAAATTCAGCTGTCCACCACTAATAGCAATTTAACGGTCTACGAATTGATGAATATCCATTAATAAATATAATGAAAAAAAAATGTTTCCCACCTCCACGAATAAAGGAAAAATTGAAAAGGAAAATAGAAAAAAATCACCAATATTTCTGGGGAATAAGAGTTGAATTGTTTCCCATATTAAAAACAAAAAATCTGACGGTAAGAATAATGTTTCAATCTTGATTCATAAGATTTTAATCCCAGTTGTATTTGGAATCAATGAGGATGGCTATAAAGTGCTTGTTTCAACAAACCATCCCACAATAAAAACGAAAAATAAGAAGAGGTGCAATGGTTGTTGGACTATGCCTCACTCACAAAGTGAAGAGAGACATGTCTATTAGCATCACACTGCAGTCACATTTGCCCTAAACTGATTCTTTACTTAACCCTAAAAGGGCTGGGGGCGGAATCCCCCCCCCCCAAGACCAAGACCAAGACCGAGACCACAGCTCCCGAGACCGAGACCGAGACCGAGACCAGCAAAAAGTGGTTCCGAGACCGAGACCGGTCTGGACGAAATAATACATCTGGACAAGTCGTCATGGCGACTTATGGAAGTCGACTTGGAGAGATAATGCATCTGGACAAGTCACCAAGGCGACTTCGGTAAGTCGACTTGGTGAGATAATAAATCTGGACAAGTCGTCAAGTCGACTAAGTCGACTTAGCGATACAATTATGTGATTAAGTCGCCTTACTCTCGGCGATATGTCAACATGACGTGATAAATTATTTTATTAAATAAAGAAGTGGATGACACTCATGGAGCGCCGTAGTTTCCAGATTCAGCACCTAATAAAAATATCGCACAAACTTGAAAAAAGAGAAGCTAGCGTCAGTGTAAACCTTCCTATTATAGTGGATTCCCAATCACTCATATTATCTTAGGAAATCAAGCTGCACCACCAGTCTTTGTAACGAACTGGCGCTATAGCGCCACCAAGAACTTGAGAATGGTGAATGTCTACGGCCATTGCGTCCCCGCTTTCCATACATTAATTCAAACTACTGGATTTGTGTGGATTTTTTTTAGCAGATTCTTCTCATATAGTCTGACTGACAGAATTTGAAGCTCACTCGCTAAATGTACAATCAGAAGGCCTGCTCCTTGGCGAAAATAGTCCAGTTCCTGTCTAACGGCAAAATAATTTAAGTCATCCAAAATCCATCACCTATTCCTACGCCGTGCACTCCATCGACAGATGCATTTGCACTGTTTGGTATATTGCCTCAAATGGCCTCAAATGAGGGGCGTGTCTCTACGATCACCTCTCCCCAATTACGCCGCTGGCTGCGATAACTACAGTCAATAATTGATATTTATGACTTATTGACCACTCGTAACACCGTTGCTTAAAAGCATAATTATAATACGGCCATGGCCTCTCTTTCAATAATTAAGCAAGTTTTAGGCCATATAAATGACGCAACCGTAAACCGTTGGCAGGCAGTATTTTGTGAAGAAAGCTACGGCGAAATAAGTTCAACCACACATGTTACATTCATGAACGTGTGTGTCCATCACATATACGTCAGTATTGAAGTCAACAGTTGTCAAGATGGCTGCTTTCACTATTGTCAAGCTTCTCGCACTGTTGGCGATTGCGGGATTTCAAGTTCTGCTAGCCGTCTGTCCTGCCGGCTGGTTGGCGTGGCAAGACGCCTGTTACATCTTGCTGCCTGACAAAATGGATTGGTGGCAAGCTGAGAAGGTTTGCGACCGGCCTGGGAGCAGCCTGGTCGTTCCTGACTCGCAGGAAGAACAGGACTTCATCTGGCGGGAAATGAAGGCGAGGATGCAGGAATTTGGCGCTCAGTCAGAAGATGACTTGCAACTGTGGATTGGATGCAAGGATGTCGACAACAGCGGGACGCTTTCGTGCAACGGTGTCGATGGGGATCCCATCTACAAAAATTGGTGGGGTCGTGACCCGGATAATATTCAGCACATTTGTGTCCGAATGGCTGAGACATTCAACGGTCAGTGGGCAGACATTGATTGCAGTTATTCGAAATACGCCGCTTGTGAGATGCATGTCTCTCGTGTCTCGTTCTGCATGCCGACCGATGGTGACGGCCATTGCCCGCCACACTGTCTGCTCAACCACGGGATCAAGAACCTCACGACCGGAGTTACCGGATGTGCCTGGGCATGCTGGGAAGAGCCTCGATGCCACTCCTTCAATCTCTGGCAGAAGAAGGAAGAAAACGCGGGAATCTGTCAGCTCAACAGCGCAACTCGCCTGCAGGCCGCTGCCGAAGATTACAAGTACGTGGAGGACTGCTACTTCTACGAAATGTAACAGTTAGGAACAAAAAGTGCACCACGTATTAAGATTTGTCATATTTTCTTGTATTTCACGTGGTGTTTACCTTTCATCGCAGATGTAAATAAATTAACTCTGAACTTTGAACACTAACATTGCTAAGTGCATAGCTAGCTGGAGTTCTGTGGACAATATCGATTCGAGTTTAAAAACTGGAGGAACAATAATTATCTTTAAATGTCTGGTTAATCCTTCCTTCTAGTGGTTAACCTTTTGACCATCAAAAAGATCCTTGATTTCTGCCTCACTTCTGATTAACATGCCACATGGATCTCGGCTTGACACCGAAACGTTTTGATATTTTCGCTCTTTCATTCACTTGGAATCGGGATCGATGCATGAACAATTTGATTGTGATCAACAAGAAACTTCAACGAATTCTGCACCACGTACTCGAGAAACTGATTTGAACTTCATCTTATTTCCTTGTAAATCTTTTGTTGTTTAATTACCTTTCATCACAGATGTTTAATTAACACTGAACTTTGAACACTATTACATCGCTAGCTGCACAACTAGCTGGAGTTCTGCGGACAATATCGTTTCGAGTTTCAGAACTGGAAGAACAACACTATTATTTAAGTATATATATAATGGCGGCATCTATTCTTCTTACATAGCGGACCTCTACTAGCACCAAACGGTTTTTTTTAATGTTTCGAGACGGAAATAGTTTTAAATGGTGTTAATATTATTAAAAATGAGATTCCTCTTACCAAAAAAAGAATCTTGAGTAGATTAGTTTCCAGATTCAGCACCTAATAAAATTATCGCACAAAATTCAAAAATCAGAAGCTAGCGTCAGTGTACACCTTCATATTATAGTGGATTCTCAATCACTCATATTATCTTAGGAAATCAAGCTGCACCACCAGTCTTTGTGACGGACCAGCGCTATAGCGCCACCAAGAACTTGAGAATGGTGAATGTCTACGGCCATTGCGTCCCCGCTTGCCATGCATAATTCTAACTACTGGATTTGTGTGGTTTTCTTTTAGCAGATTCTTCTCATATCGTCTGACAGAATTTGAAGCTCACTCGCTAAATGTACCATCAGAAGGCTTGCTCCTATGCGAAAGAAGTCCAGTTCCTGTCTAACAATTTTCACAATAATTTAAGTCATCCAAAATTCATCACCTATTTCTACTCCGTGCACTCCATCGACAGATGCATTTGCACTGTTTGGTATATTGCCTCAAATGGCCTCAAATGAGGGTCGTGTCCCTACGATCGCATCTCCCCCATTACGCCGCTTGCCGCTAAAACTATAGTCAATAATTGATATTTATAATTTATTGATTACTTGTTACACCGTTGCTTAGAAGCATAATTATAACACGGCCTAGGCACATCTTTCAATAATTAAGCATGTTTTAGGCCATGTTAATGACGCACACGTAAACCGTTGCTAAGCAGTAGTCTGTAAAGAAACCTACGGCGAAACATTTCAACCACACATAGGTTACATCGAATGTGTGTATACATCACATATACATCAGTATTGAAATCGACAGTTTGTCAAGATGGCTGCTTTCACTATTGTCAAGCTTCTCGCACTATTAACGAGTGCGGCATTTCAAACTCTGCTAGCCGTCTGTCCTCCCGGCTGGTCGGCCTGGCAAGACGCCTGTTACATCTTGCTGCCTGACAAGATGGATTGGTGGCAAGCTAAGGAGGCTTGTGATCGGCCAGGGAGCAGCCTGGTCGTTCCTGACTCACAGGAAGAACAGGACTTCATCTGGCGGGAAATGAGAGTGAGGAAGACAGAATACGGAGCAGTTGAAGAGATTGACGTTGGGCTGTGGATCGGATGCAAGGATGTTGACAACGCTGGGTCGCTTTCATGCATCGGGGTTGATGGGGACCCCATCTTCAAGAATTGGGGGAGCGGGCAACCAAATCAAAATGAAGGCCTTTGTGTCCGAATTGCGAGGAAGTTCAACGGTCTTTGGGGAGACTCAAAATGCAGTGCTTTTAAGTACGTTGCTTGTGAGATGCGCGTCTCTCATCGCTCATACTGCCTGCAAGCTGATGCTGACGGGCGCTTCACACCCCAGTGCCTGCTCAACCATGAGATCAAGAACCTGACAGCTGCAGGAGTCATTGGGTGCGGTCAGGCGTGCTGGGCGGAGCTTCGATGCCACTCCTTCAATCTCTGGCAGGAGGGTGATGACAAGAAAGTATGTCAGCTCAACAGCGCGACCAGCATCGAGGCTGACGAAGCTGATCTCAAATATGTGAAGAACTGCAACTTCTTCGACCTGTAAACTTTCGAAAGTCAAAGTTAATCTCCAATATGAAGTATTCAAGATGTATTCGAGAACTCCTTTAATCTTTGGAAGACCTGATGACAAGAAAGTCGGTCAGCTCAACAGCGCAGTCTCAAACCGCTTCGACGAGGGTTTCAAACCACTCATCACCGACTGGACATTTTGTAACTCTGAACGGAAGACAACCTATGTACAGTTAGCATTCCTTCTGCCTTATGACATAACTTTCAAATTGATAATCATCAACTCCAAACACTGAGAGAACTGTTACACCACTGCATTAGTTATCGGTAATAACATCATGGACATGAACTTAACTTGCTGGAACGCTAATTTGCTGTTTAACCGGTTTAACCATCTTTAACCGGATGCCCAAACTAGTGTTTGTAACTCATTGTAACGTTAACATTAGATTTCAAAACACTTATACATATGTACATGTATCAAAGAAATATATCTGGCATATTTACTGCTTGCAAGATTGAGATCTGAGATAATATAGTTGCACCAAATTAAGAAAAAAAGATATGTGCTTTTGAGCAATGAGCATCGCGGTCAGATAAACTATAACTTTGGGGAGGGAAGCTAACAAAATATGACACAATAATTTTGTTGAGGAGCTGTGGGAATAACTACACATTCACAAAATTACTATTATTCGATTTTTTGCAAGTTTGGGTAGACGATAGGGGGTGGGTTTTTTTTTGGGGGGGGGGGAGGCCGGGAGGGTAATTTGGGTGAAATGAAGACAAAATCGAGAAACTGAATTTGTATTAAAAAAAACCAGTTTTGTTAGACTGGGCTTGATGGGATCCTGTAAATTGTGGATTAATGGTTATTAATTAATTATCGCGAAATTGATTCTTAATTGTATTATATAAGTAGGTTATCGACAGATTCAGCACCTAATAAAAAAATTATCGCACCAAAATTCTACCAGAAGTTACGCCAGTTTATATTTTCCATGTTAAGTCGAACATCAAACATTCTTACTTTTTGAGTATCAATGACTCTGCTGTTCGGAGTGGTCTTAATCAATGCAGAAATAATCAATTATACTCATTATGCTGAAAAAAAATCATCAGGTAAATGGGCTCTTTGATTTGACATCTTTTTTTTTCTTGATATAGGTTTTCATGCCAGACATAACTCATGGCTCGTGGGTACCGTATTATATGGGTGCATGCAGGCCTGAAAATAAGCCCGAAATTGCCTACGCCGGCCAAATCACGATTTGCATGCCCTTAATTTCTTTGCTATTAGAGCATTTTGTGGTCCATGAACTTGAGGGTTTGTAAAAGGGAAAACAAGTGGACGCCATGAACAGGACTGCGAGCTCGTATTTCTGTGAAATTCGGATCATAATTGGGCCCTAACGTTGCTCTATTTTGCAATGGAGCGTACTGCGTAGGCATTTTTTTTTTTTCAAAATGGCGATGGGTTTCAACTACCAACCCACAAACCCCCACTGGGGAAGCTCAGAGGCCGCCCAAGAAGACTTTGGATTGATCAACTGGGTCGACCAAGCGAGGTAGAGAGCGTCTAGAACCAAGCTGTCCGACGTGGGCACAGGAGGTCAGCGCAACGGACCAACGTTGTCTTTGCGGCTGAGTGAGTGAGTTGATGATGGGATTCCGGACTACTTTTAGAGGTGATTATCTTTGGATGTAATTTTCTCCCAAAAGTAATGGTTAACCCCCAAAACACTTGAAGAAAAAGTAAAACATGATGAAATAAGCTTTAATTTGATGTATGTCTTAAGCACATTGGAGAGTTGTGAGTATTTTTCCTAAATTTTGGAAGTGGAGGGGAATTTACCACTGGTGTTTAATGGTGGCTCACTTTGCTGTCTTCAACCTGAAGAGCGAAATTAGGACGCCCTCTCTCATTGGAACAACTCGTCGCATGGTGGCGCTGTACAACTGAGCCTGAATTATTGAATTATTTCAGGTTGCAGACCATATTCAAAATACTCACAACTCTCCAAGGTGTTTAAGACACACATCATATTAAAGCTTATTTCGTCACCTGTCATTCTCTGTTTAAATTTTATTGGGGTTAACAAATGACTTTTGTGAGAAAATCCAAATATAATCACTCCTGAATTTTGAAAAAGGATGCCTACGTTCCATAGCAAAATAGAGAAATTTTCGGGCCTAATTTCAACCCTATTTCACAGAATACGAGCCCGCAGTCCTTTGTACGGTTTCCTTCTTTTATTACAAATCCTCAAGTTCACGGCCCTCAAAATGCTCTAATACGGGATAATTTGAGGGCTGGCATAATTTCGGGACTATTACTGGCCTGCACCCTTCAGCGCGTTGCATCAGACGATATTGCACCATCTCCAGCTAATTCTTCAATCTCTTCAATTCCCAAATGTTATGGCGCTCAGAAATCTCTTGTAGAATATTTTGAGGGTATAACTTATATTCATGAGCTCGGCGGATGGGTTTAGGCCTATTTCCCGGTGTGCACCCGTCACCACTTACAATGAATAGCGCCACCAACAGATAGATTGACAACACACTCTAAGAAATCTGCCAGAAATGTTAGCTGGAGACGTATTTTCCCGACACGTCGAGCTGACACATTGTTTGGTATTTTTTGTTTCGTTCTATTACGTTTTGTTTTGATTTCTTTAATGCATGATTTTGTTTTGCTGTCAAAAAATGTGATTGTTATGTTGGGTTTTTTTTGGGGGGGGGT